CAAAGGAATTACAATAGAAATACGAAGCGATACAAGGCAACAACATAAGGCAAACAGAGGCACCAATAGAGACCGTATGTTCTTGGTTACGGGGGCATCGCCCTCAGGAGAGCTGGCAGGAACGGGCTGCAGGCTCCGGACCTGGCAGATGGTCGACTCCTCGCATCGTCCAGCTGTAGTCTCGCCACGCCCTGAAAGCTAACGTGAGTCATACCAAAACAAAGTGCCGCGCCGTCCGGCGCGGCTTACAAAATAGAAAAATGATTGAAATGAATGAGGGATTTAAGAATGAAAGACGGACCTATAGTTCTTACGAACACTACTCTGTGCAATCGTTCTGATCCCATGCAATCGTTCTAATCCTTTGGACATCCTTATCATCGCAACACGTACGTTCCCCAAGCAATTTCGACGCTGTTGTCGTGAGATACTGTGTTTGGTGTGCATCCAGATTTATTTACGGCTCATTTGGGGGTACGGTGTATGGTTGTTCGCCTACTGAAGTTACCGTACTGCATTTGTTAATAGCCAGACACTCGTTCCGGTTGTTCATTCTTGGTTTTCTCGCAAAAATCCAAAATGACTTCAGAACTTTTCCTCGATGAGGTTGTAGTGCCCTGTTGTAACGCGGTCTGTGTGTAGATTGCCTGTGATTGTGTACTGACGATGTGGATCAAGCACAGCTTTATTGCCGGACGCCTTGAATCCCTGCTCTTGAATGGAGTCCCACTATTGGACGACGAGGCTGGACTGCTTGATTGCGAAGGCTTCTGAATGAATGAACCATACCGGCTTGCCATCACTTCTTATACCATATTCTATCTTATCACCTCAAAGATACTTATCAATCATTGTACACAGCGCGTTAGTGAAGAAGATCATTTTTCCTATGACAAACGTTAACACTTGAAATGAAAGCTCAAAGAAGTGAACTAACTGTAGCTATTGTTACACTCCCCACCCGAATTTTGGATACCGGTATAATTTTCCTTCAATTTCTTCCAGTTCTTTTGTAGTTTCTTCAATTGCTTTACGTAATCTGTCTTTTGAATCCAGTATCGTACACAGCGCCCTGTGGTGACCGTTATCCCTGTGGATGAGAAACTCCAGATTTGTTCTTTCCAGTATTGTCCGGCAATACCAGCAAACTTTCTCTTTTTATTTTCTTGTCTTCGACAACATATCTGAATAGTAATCTCCAAGTTCTCCCTTCTTGTAACCTCGGCATGATGTCGAATATTTAGTTATTTCTGCCAAACGAGGTTATTAGATAGAACCTTTTATTGGCCCGACGTTTCGACCTTCTCGTCTTCTTCAGAGGCCTGAAAATGGCTCGAAGCTTTCAATTTGTCACCTACCCGATCAAGCGCCTTCCCCACTCTAGCGTTTCCGACGTCGTGTCCCGAACACCCCCGAAGAACCCAGTAATAACTGCGCTCAACTCACCGAGGTTCCACCGTGCGGAGCCTAGCTCACGCTATGTGTCAGTAGTGTAAGGACGAATGAGTCTCACTAGAGTCTCATCGTGTCACATAAGTCAAAATTGCCATTGTGCACGTCGCCCTTACTGTAGCTCGCACTCTGATACAAACGGCAAGAACTCATTAGTAATTGACGGACATTCGTTTCGGCCGTTCATCCTTGGTTTTCTCGCAAAGATCCAAAACGATTCCAGGGCTTTCCTGGAAGAAATCTCTGTCTCGTACCCGAGTATAGTACAGCTAACATCAAAGTCATTCCCGTTATGCTCCTCAATCTTATGCTTGCCAAGAGGAGTTGTCATCATATCACGCCTCTTCCCAGCTAGGTGTTCCTTGACGCGAGTAGCTAAGTCCCTTCCTGTTTCCCCGATGTACGTGCTGTTACAAGCCTGCATTCAAGTTGGTAAATTACCCCGGTTTGATCGGGTAGGTGACAAATTGAAAGCTTCGAGCCATTTTCAGGCCTCTGAAGAAGACGAGAAGGTCGAAACGTCGGGCCAATAAAAGGTTTCTATCTAATAACCTCGTTTGGCAGAAATAACTAAATATTCGACATCATGCCGAGGTTACAAGAAGGGAGAACTTGGAGATTACTAGAAGACATACCGCCGAGAATGTTCTCCCTAGTGCGCGAAGCACTCTCCCTTCGACAAAAGATCGTATCCATCCGGCAATCCGTGAAGTTTCTTCAGCGCTGCAGATCGACCGGCGTGCTTCCTCGCTTCATTTTAAATAAGAAGATCGGCGCATGTTGTGGTTTGCCAGAAAATGATCCCTTGATAATGAATGTTTATCGTTCTATTCTAGGGATTGCTATTAAGAGAAAACAATATGTACTGTATTCTTGTATTGTGAAGTGTAATGCAAAAGAAGAAGCATGCCGACGTCTTCTACCGGAACGAATTTGGAGGAGGATTGAGGGTGGGTCGAGGGAGATTTGTGACATTATTCGATCTAGGGCAAAAGCCACTCTTTGTGCGAAATACGACCGACTTTTGCGATCGCTTCCAGGAGAACTCCAGTAGTGACAGTGATAACAATTCTACCGACCACCGCTTTACTAACGATAATGCTCAAAATGACGATCAAACGGGCAAGAGTCTGTTCTAGGCGGCGCTCAGCTTTCTGCTAATGTCTTGAGTTTCCTCAGGCGCGATAACAACATGCAGACTTCCTTGGCTCCTAATCAGAGACTGCTACCTACTGTACCATTCCCACGTACTATCTATAAAGAGCCCGCCCAGTAGTCGAGACGGATGTGAAGTTCAGAATCTTAGCATCAGGTGTGCTGAGCACACTCAATCGATGCAGACGGCTTCACCATAACAATATGACTTATGAACAATGGCAAGGGTTCAGAGAAGTACGTGAGCTGAGATCGAACGGTACAATACGTGTCTCTGTTAGCGACAAAGGTGGCGAGTTCGTCGTAATCCCACAGTCATTAGACCGTGAAATAACCGAACTCCATCTGCAGGATTCATCCGTTTATCATCGCGCCACCGTTGAAGACTTTATGAGCCAATGTAGACGCCTCAATCGTGTGTGGATGACGGTGGGAAGATCTGCCGGAATTGATGGAAAGTTTTTGACTAGGCTCAGACTTGACAAGCCTGCTTGTCCAGTCTTTTACAGCCTGGTTAAAACCCACAAACTCGCTCCTAACGATATGTTGTCAATGTCACCGGACACATATAAAATAAGACCTATCATAAGCTGCGTTGGTGGACCAACCGACCGGATATCATGGTACCTCAACACAATAGTGAGCCAGTTGCTGACCAAGATCCCCTCTCACCTGACCAACACGAACCAATTCCTTCACCAGCTACACAATTCGAATTTCGGGACCGATTGTGTAGTGGAGTCGTTTGATGTCACTGCACTTTACACGAACGTCCAAAACGAACAAGCGCTACAGGCTTGTCAGAGATGCTGGATATGCATGTTGCCGCTATTAACACCTTTGGACTGAATAAAGTGCACATCATGACTCTGGTTGAGGAATGCTTACGCTGTAATATCTTCAAATGGTCAGGACGCTATTACTCTCAAGTCAGAGGTTTGGCAATGGGTCAGCGACTAGCACCAGTACTCGCGATCTGCTTTATGAGCAGAATTGAAGAACCAGTACTGAGTCGCTCTCCTTTGATGTACTGCAGGTATATCGACGACTGCTTCATTATAACATCAACACAATCCGAAATGGATGAGTGTTTCCGATTACTAAATGAGCAGTCGCAGTACATAAGGCTCACACGAGAAGTACCAAAACACGGTTGGCTACCATATCTGAATACGCAGGTGAAGCTGTCCAATGGCATTGCTAAAGTAAAGTGGTACCGCAAACCTAGCTGTAAGAATATCCTGATTCACGCAACGTCTTCACATCCTGCTGCAGTGAAACGTGCAGTCATCAGGAACATGATCACGACTGCAACCAGGATGTGCACAGGCGAGGAAGAACGACAGGAATCGAGAGCTCTAGCTTCGAAAGTTGCTGGAGAAAATGGTTATGCGAGCATATCGTAGAACATCGAATGCCAGCCTTCGACATGTATCACGCCAAGGGAAGCTACCCTTGTGCCTTCCTTTTATTTCCGATGACATCAGCACTGAAATACGTCGCAGTATTGTGAGAGCACAGTTGCAGGATGATGTTGTCTTGGTGAACATTCCCAACAGCAACATCAAACGCCAACTTGTTCGCAACAGACTGTACGACAGGCAGTGCATGACACCAGATTGCGTTATTTGCCCATATGGAAGGGTAGGAGATTGTGAGAAAACTGGGGTAATTTATCAACTTGAATGCAGGGCTTGTAACAGCACGTACATCGGGGAAACAGGAAGGGACTTAGCTACTCGCGTCAAGGAACACCTAGCTGGGAAGAGGCGTGATATGATGACAACTCCTCTTGGCAAGCATAAGATTGAGGAGCATAACGGGAATGACTTTGATGTTAGCTGTACTATACTCGGGTACGAGACAGAGATTTCTTCCAGGAAAGCCCTGGAATCGTTTTGGATCTTGCGAGAAAACCAAGGATGAACGGCCGAAACGAATGTCCGTCAATTACTAATGAGTTCTTGCCGTTTGTATCAGAGTGCGAGCTACAGTAAGGGCGACGTGCACAATGGCAATTTTGACTTATGTGACACGATGAGACTCTAGTGAGACTCATTCGTCCTTACTTACTACTGACACATAGCGTGAGCTAGGCTCCGCACGGTGGAACCTCGGTGAGTTGAGCGCAGTTATTACTGGGTTCTTCGGGGGTGTTCGGGACACGACGTCGGAAACGCTAGAGTGGGGAAGGCGCTTGATCGGGTAGGTGACAAATTGAAAGCTTCGAGCCATTTTCAGGCCTCTGAAGAAGACGAGAAGGTCGAAACGTCGGGCCAATAAACGGTTCTATCTGAATAGTGTGTTCCAATGTATTGTGTAAAGGCCAATGGGTTACTTCGTTTCGGTCCTGTCCACCAGTGATGGTGGCTGAATTCTTCTTTCGTCAGACCTCATGTTCCGCAGTCGGCAGGGTTATCTTCCGAGAACACGTGGCCAAATTGCGTAATGCAGCGTTCTTTGTCTAGGTGGTCCACGATCCTTCTTATCTCAATTAATCTACGGTGAATAAAAATTTCTAACTCTCGTTTGGGGAGCTTTCAACCAGCACAAGGCGATTTCGGAATCCGATAGGATATAACTTTCTCTTATATGTAGCACACCCTTCAGTTGGGTTATGATAGCATTCGCGAGACGTGCTGCCAGTGTGATTGCGTTCATTTCGAGCTTTGGTATTGTTGTGTTTCCATGGATTGAGGGTAGTTTTGATTTTGCCATTAGAAGCTGGATCGTTTTACAGTGCCTCATATAGGCGCATGCAGTTATTCCTGTGGTGCTAGCATCTGCGAAAATCACAAGCATCACTGTGCTCATTTTTGGCGTCAGATATCTTGGAATAGATTTGTGAAATCGATCATATCGTTGCTGATTTTGTTCCATTCTTCTTTTTCTTTATTGGGTAGAGGGATATCCCACTTGTATTGTTTTCTAGGAAGACCTTTGCTCTATGGAGAAGCGGGATGTACCAGCCCATAGGGTCGTATACAGTGGCTATCGCACTTGTTACAGTCCGCTTAGTGATTGTCGTTGAAGACTCCTTCATTGAAGCACTGAGCCGCCAGCGTATCGGTCTTAGAGTTCCACTCGATTCCAAGAACCTTCTGAGTGTGACTACTTGCTTTATCAACACCCGGTATCGAGTCCATGAGTGCCAAATCCTTGGATGTGAACTCACGCAAGTTCATTTTCAACTCCTGGAATATTGCTTTTGAGCTACGGTAGAATTGTAGCGCTTCTTCATACGTATCACTTCATAGGAGAACGTGGTCCACATAGAGGTTGACCCTTGATGTTTTGGGCTATATCTTCTTCTTTATGCCTGTCCAGATGGTAATGGGTTGTTCCTGCCAGAAGAAAGGGGAAAGGGAGAACTGTAGTCCAGAAGTGACTCGCGTAAAGCGAAGTGTCTGGATATTGCCTGCTGACAGAGGTTGCTTATGATCCTTGAGCCACAGACAACGTGTTGCGTCCCTATCTACTTCATGTAGACGAACTTGTAAGAACGCCTTTTCCACGTCCGAAATTAGTGCTATTTTGCCGATCCGAAAGCGTAACAGTAAGCCATATATCATTGGTAGCATTACTGGTCCTCTGTGCAGAACGTCGTTCAAGGAGGGACTATCTTTGAAGTGAGCTGATGCGTCAAATACGATACGGAGCTTTGTTGTACTTTTCTGGGGAGTTATAACTGGCTGATGAGGGATGTAGTGTACTTGGACTCCTTCGTTGGAGGCTGTTTTCGTCTACCGTTTCTAACAATATTCTTGCTTGAGCTGATCTTGAAAGATGCCATTGTATTGGTCTAGTAATTGTTCATCTTTCTTCAATGAGTTCCAAACACTAACAAGGCGTTTATACGCTATTGCTCGGTTATCTGGTAGATTTGGATGTTGTTCCTTCCATGGTAGACGCACGTAATATCCATCTTCTCGACGTTCGATGGACTTGTTGAATTGCTCCCAAACTCGTTTGTCTAACTCGGATTGTGCTTTCTTCTCAGGTCCAAGGAATTCTTCTGTCGCAGCAGAGTCCATGGTCCAGTATTGTTCCCATTGATCTCGTTCCTCTTGGGAGATTACTGAGTCTGTCTCTCTAACCATAAAGACATGAGCAGAGTTCATTGACCAGTGATAGGTTCCGGAGTTCCCTTCATTGTCATTATCTTGTGAAACTTGTAGAACTGTATCTTCTCCATTTTAGTTTTGCCACAGATCAAGTGGCCCAACTTTTGTAGGTAGAACGTGTAGTCCGGACGGTAGTGTAAGTGGAGGTATATCACTCCTCACAAAGGACCATAACAAGTCGCATCCTAAGAGAATAGGTGGCTGGATGATCCTTTTTCTTGTTTTGCCTTGATTGCAAAATCAAGATTACGAAGGAATTCTTGAGTTGATAGGGTCGGCCATCTTATTGAATGAGTGAGAATATTGTGTGTGAGTAACTCGAGAGAATGTGGGTTTCCATCTTCGTCCCACATCTCCATTCGTACTCTTTGACATCCTTCGCTCGATTACCTCCTTTGTGCCGAACGTGTTCAACCTAATGTTCTTCAATAACAAGGTGCGTGAATGATTCCTCGGTTCCGGTGTCGAAAAGAACAACTACTTTGATCAGAGCCCTGCTGTTGGCATCCAGCACAACTTCCCCTGTGGGTAAATAAGGATGTTGGGAGCTTTGCGTGTTCAACATCCTTGGTGGTGAAAGTATCGGCGTTTCCTGTGGTGGACTATCTTCTGATTCCTGAGTAAATATAGCATTCGAGTGAATCTGATTTTGTGAGCCCTTGTTGAATTTCATCTTTGAACTGTCATTCTTCTTCCTGAAACCTCCATTCGAGATGCTGGTCTTGTTTGCCAACGAACTCTTGTTGTTCGAAGGCGTTGATGCCGATTCCGAGAATGGTTTTGCCCTGAAGCAACACGAGGTATGATGTGGGCCATTGCAATTGAAACAAAGGCGACCCTTGCACTGATGTGTTGCATGATTAACTGATGCACAAATGAGGCAAAGTCTATTCTGTCGTAAGTAAGATGACCTGTCTTGAGGGTGTAGAGATATTGTTGGGAACTATACGGTAAGGTTACTGTAAAGTGGGCGGAGCCCCGCCTGTATGGCCTGGCTCTTGCCTGCGGCGTGACCCCAGTTAATTACCTAGACTGGCTGACCTGCTGACCTCTCACAAGAGGCCTTTCAAAGACGAAGAGATAAAGCGAATGCGATTGAGCGAGATTATCAAGCGGGGCCCAGTCAAGAACAAGTGGAGCAGTTCTGTAGGAGGATGGCTAAATATGTCACCAATGTAAATGATTTTTGAGGCGCAAAAAGTTTTCTGTGATTCGTTCTATGTATTGTTCGAGTTGTGAGTTTCACTTAATAATTATAATAATAATTTTATTGTGTTGGCCAATAAGTAATGGCGTTTTTACTCACGTAAATTAATATATGGAAAATGATAATTGTTTTCCAATGAGTTCTACACTTTTCGATAGATAATTTTCGGCTCTATAAGTTAGCATGGTTGTCTTCTTACTATTTCTCGAACTGTGTCGATTTTTATTTCACTGAAAGGGAAATTCGGGTTGACTCAAAAGTGAGTTTTCGACCATTACTTTTTGCACTTTATCTCGGCTCTTAAACCACAGAAGAAGCAGATGCCTCCTATGGCAGCTTGAAGTTAATTCAAGCGATTAATAGGTGGAAATTCGGACCTTGTAAATGTGCAACGCATGGGGGGTCCTCCTGGGGAGCGACGGCCTGCAGAACCTATCCACTAATTTTCGGACGTATAACATCAACTGAGGGTGGTAGTTGATGATGAGGAAGGGTTTCGTGAATTAAATGATTCACCATCCCTGGTATGAATAAGGTTATTCATGGGTTCATACCAGGGATGGTGAATCGTTCTCAGTTGAACTCAATAGGGCAGCAGGTCCGATGCTTCTCTGTGAGGTCTATATTGTAATATTTAAATCGCTAGAACCGTCATAATCATTCCTAAGAGACACAGCGTCTTAGCCATATACTTACCTTCTGGGTCTAACGGTTTTAACTTCTCAATTAGAAGTAAAATGGGGAGGCTGTCGAAAATGCTCAATTTCGTCGGCGTGACCCTTCAGTTTGAGCACTTAAACATTAGTGGGAGTAGACAGTTCAAGGAAACTAAAAGACTGTCATGTAGGGCAAGGAATTCTCTACAAAAAAAAATGATAAAACGCTATGGCAAAAGTTTTCATTTTCAGCGCGATATTTCGAATAAGAAGGAAACGCCATTACTTATGGGCCTACCCAATAGGTGCTAACAATAATAATAATAATAATAATAATAATAATAATAATAATAATAATAATAATAATAATAGCAATAATAATAATAGTAATAATAATAATAAGCCGAGGTCAGCAGTCGTCGCACGCAACTCGATGAGGTCGCACTCCAGGCGATAATTAAAAGGCGAGATACGCTCCGCCTCATCCTACAGTAACTTACCGTATACCTTCCCAACAATATCTGCATACCCGTCTTGAGGTGTCGGGTACTTCGTGCAGTTCACCGAAGAGTGTGCATCTCTGCAGTACATGCACCTAGGTCCTATTTTTGCGTGCGTGATGCTTGATTTTCCCGTAAAGGTTGCGTCCTTTTGGTACAATGGGGTTCGTGGACAGAATTTCATCTATGAATCTGGAGAGGTGTCCCATCGTAAATGTTGTTGCTGTCAGTCCTTGTTCTTATTGATAACCTTCTGGTTAGTGGAGCCAGGAAATTTAGCAAGTCTCCTGATAAACCATGAGCTGTTTATGTTTTCTCCCTTGTCCTCTGACGGAACAATAATGGTTTGAATTTGCTGAAAGGGAGCGCTGGTCCTTCATTTATGGGGATTTCAGAGTGCAAGACTCTATTCGCTCGACCAAATGGTTTACCAGTGTTTCCTTGTTATTGTATTTTTCGAAAAGACATGATACCGCTTTAGAGAGTTCTCGCTAGTGACTCTGAACTTGACAATAGCCTCTCGTGCCTTCCTTTCCATGCGTTCAACAAGTAATTGTACTCAACCTTCTCAGGATCCTTCGAATTGATGTTGCTATCGAGAATCTTCCAGAAGTTATCCCACTCCCATATATCCCCATCGAAGGTTGGAATGGGAAGCGGTGGTAACTCTATAGCTTTGGGCTGTACGGGACTCTCTGGTACTGGTATTGCTTCCGGAGAAGCTTGCGCCGTTTTCATGGGGATTGCCTGATCAACTCGTGTTGTGTACAAGCAACCGAGGAGGCGGCCCTGTAAGATGACTACGAAATCGAACGCCTTCGATATTATGGTTTCTGCTCTTTTTATGTACTGTTCGGGACCTTCTTGATCACCAATATTGGTGTTTTCTTGGTTGTCAACTTCTGCTGCCAAGTCATAGAGCTTTCTCAACTTCCGTCATTATGTTGATTGCTTCTTGCGCCCTACTTATCTTTTCAGTTTTTTCTTCTTGTGAACTATCAAATGCAACTGAGAGCTTCTTCTACTTCTTCTGCCTTGATCCCTCTTATTGATTCTTCTAACTTATTATTAACAATGTCAACAGGCGCTTACGTGTGGCGATCTGATTAGCCATGATGCTCCTTGCGCAAGTCCGCACTGTGAATCTATTGTATGTATGCGTATTGTACTTCCGTAAAAATGACTGCTAGTTCCTGCTGAAAGAGTAAGCGAAGCTGACAGTTAATGCCAAATAGGAGCGGTGGGTTTGATTACAGAACTAGCCAGGTACCGCACTGTGAATCTAAACTACCGAAGAGACGAATGTTGAGCTGACCTGAGCTCGTAGTTTGCCGATGCATCAAATTTGTAGTGCTTTGTTGCCGCGCGGTGTTTTCTGTCGATTGCTGACTGTGTATGACGATGTGTATCATGGACAAGTTTATTGCAGGAAGCCTCGAATCCCTGCTCTTGGAGTCCCACTATTGGACGACGAGGCTTCACTCCTTGAATTGCGATGCGTTCTGAATGAATGAACCGTAGCAGCTTGCCACAACTTCTTATACCATATTCTATCTTATCACGTCCGAGATTATCAATCATTTTACGCAGCGCGTTAGTGAAGAAGATCATTTTCCTATAACAGACAAGTTAACACCTGAAATGAAAGCTTAAAGAAATGAACTAATTGTGGCTATTGCTGCAGAGGTTTCCGTCTCGTACGCCAGTATAGTACATTGAACATGAAAGCCGTTCCCGTTATGCTGCTCAATCTTATGCTTGCCAAGGGGGTGGTCATGATAACACGCCTTTTTCCAGCCAGGTGTTCTCTAATACTCGTAGCTAGCAGTTTCTCCGATGTACGTGCTGTTACACGCCCTACATTCAAGCTGATAAATTAAAAACACCAAAACTCCAGCTTTCTTTCATTCGTCCTTAGGCAGGTTTATACTTCGCGACAGCAGCGGCGATCGCCGCGATCGTCGGTACGTGGCAGAGCGCGCCCCAACGCTATTATGGACCGCTCGCTTGATAAATAAGGAAATCCAACTTGTGAGACCTTCTTCTCTTAATAATGGCTACTAACTGATAACTTACGACTTTCTATACATAAGCGGATCTGGAATATGAGGTAAGGAGGTTTCACTTCTTTTTAGGTCGGGATGAGGCCAACTCCATTTCCTGGGTGAGCTTCTTTTTGTTTCTTTTGTTTTTATTGTTTCAATTTATGCAAGCGCCTTAAAATTCCTATCGTCTGAACTGTTCCAACTTCCAAAACATTTATAGTTCACAAGTCGAGTTCAAACAACGAAGAAAAAAAAAGAAACAGAAAGAAACACCTAGGAACCAAAACACTAATCATTTTACGCAGTCAACAGGTGAAAACGTTATAACCTCATGTATAAGCTCGACGAATGAAAAAAGAAACAATAAAAACCTACCCTAAATGAAGCTCTCACGCTTTTTGCTCATTTCTATCCTGAATCAAGAAAGAGAAAACAGAAAGCCATTAAAGGCAAAGCCCGCGCTCATTTGCCATCTTAGATAATGTCTCCGCATAAAGAGGACAAGGTTCAGTGTGAAACAATAGTGAAGAAAAAACAGAAAAAAACCAGCCCAATGTCCTAAACAGAACCCCATTTGATTCCAGTTTATACGTGCAAGCGATGGGGAAACAGCTACGGACGAGCTCTCCAAGCCAGAAATAGCTAAGGCGCCTCGTTTGAAGAATTAATTAATATTTCTTCTTCAACTGAACTCATCGTATCATATTGTTTCTTTAGTGTTTTTGGAATTGTGTTTTGCCTTTTGAATTAAAAATAGTGCCATTTTCTTCAAACATTTCGCGCAAATTTATTATCACCTCACAATCCTATTTATGACAAGTTCAAAAAAGAAAGGAAAGCTCTAACACTGATCGATATTAAGCGGTTTGGGTAAAGTGGACACGTATTGAATGGATGTTAGAGTGGGACTTCGCCACATTCGGAAGTAAATGGTCTACTATAATAACCCAACAACGCCAGAGATACGAAAATGCGCGCGACAATAGATTGGGAGGGGCCACGCGGCTCGCGTCGAGCGATGGCTCATCTGCCCTTCTGTTCCTCCTCGGCAAAACAGAAGTAATTTCGCGTTTAGGACATGAATATAATTCATCCGCGCCTTTAAAGCTATATTGGAAAAAAGTTAAACAGTTAACAATGAAAGCGCAAAAGAAAAACAGCAAAGCAGGACAAGCAAAAAAACAAAAAAGCAGCATGAGAAAGAAGGCTTGCGATTCACGGGTTGGATGCTGCAGTTGAAAAACAACACATATCTGAAAAACAGAACACCGCATGAAAATCACAGTCAGTAAACGTGTTAATACGTTTTTACGACACGTAAAATTTTATAAAAAGTAACAACAAATTACAAAACATGATATGGGAAAACAAAAAGCACGATACGTTCCCAGTTTTACCCCTTCGCGCGCTCAGCTGATCCAATACAATCCTACGTCCGTGCAAATGACGAAAGCGCTTACATTTTCATGCTTTTCTCGTCCCACAACTTGGTTTTTCACTGAAGGGCGGCGCTTGGGAGGCGGAGTCACTGGAAAAAAGGAGGAACCACTGGACCTATTTTGCCTTATAGCGCCCCTCTCCTGCACTTTTTTGCCGCGAAACCGGTACCAGGGTGTTCGTCGCGGACCGCTCTAACCTCCTGACGCCATATTTTTAACTTCGATACCTCATCGCGGACCGTTCCTTTAATTGGGTTCACCTTTCTTTGTGTCAAACCAAGCTTCAGTATCTAAGAAAATTGCAGTTAAAGGAAAAAAGCATGAAATTGAGTCGCTTCTTCCCAAAAGCCTTCGGAGCGCAAGTAATAGCGTTGGGGCGCGCTCTGCCATGTACCGACGATCGCGGCGATCGCCGCTGCTGTCGCGAAGTATGAACGCTCGTTACTAATTTTACTGACACACAGCGTGAGCTAAGTTCCGCATGGTGAGACCTTCGGTGAGTTGTTAGCACTCATTGCCGGGTTGTTCGGAAGCGTTCGGGAAACGAAGTCGGAAACGCTACGAGTGGGGAAGGCGTTTGGTGGGGTAGGAAACAAATTAAAAGTTTCGAGCCATTTCCGTTCCGTCTGCCATTTCGAGGACTCTTGTCAATCGGAACTGCTCTTGCTATAAGGGTCCTAGACATTTTCTCATCGCATACACTGGCCCAGCAGTTTAATGGAGAAGGAAAAGGAGCAAGGAAGAGAGAAGGAAGGAAGGAAGGGAAAGAAATAGAAGAAAAAGGAAGGAGGAGGGAGG